TTCAACCAGCGGTCAGGCTTGAATTCTTCGACGTCGTCTCCCCAAATATCCTTCATATGATGGATCGTGTACGAGGGCACTGAAAGTACTGTTCCAGGGGGAAAGTGGAAGCCATTGAAGTCAACGCCCGGGCTATGATCGGCGACCAAACGTGGCAGACCAATTGCCGATGTAGAATGAAGTCGCATCGCTTCATCGATGCATCTTCGCAGAAATGGGAGATCTTTGACTTGAGAATAAGATGCGATGCTTGCTTCGGGCTCAATTGCCTGGTCCAGCTCCTCTTGTAGTCGAGGAATTATCGTGCCCGGCGCACTGCGTTCTCCATGCAGGATCCAGTAAAAGATCCCACAGGCCGTGTTGGATATTGTGTCAGAGCCAGCAATAAGCTGTGTCAGAGCCTCTGCTATGAGCTCATCTCGCCCCATTAGCCTTCCATTAGCATCCTTTGCTTGTAGTAAGCGTGAAAGGATGTCATTGCGCGAGTCGACTATTCCCTTCTCCGCAGCATCCAGCCGTGACGAGACAGCGGCGACAGCAATCCCCGTCAGGTTCTCCACGGCCGCTACGCCCTTGGTGAAAAATGGATCGGGAAGGTACCGAGCCCATGGACGGAGTGCTGGAAGGAGGCCCAATGTCGAAGAGACCTCGCCTCGTCTATTCAACACATCAACCGCCGGGGTATATGAAATCGGTCCTCCAGGCACGAGCTGTGTCTCAGTCTCGTCTTTTCCCTTGTTTACCATACCAAATGGTGAACCAAATGCCAGATCTCCGATGATATCAAAAGCAAGGTAGCTGAACCACGGCATTGCGTTGTATCGAGCAAATCCCTTCTCATTTCGTTGTGGCTGGGAAGCCGCGATCCGGTCCAGTTGGCTTATCCATCGCTGTAGGTTTTCTGCCATAAACGGCTCAAACGCAGCGACTGACCTAGGAGAGAAAGCATGAGATATAATCTTTCGCTTGCGTGTGTGCTCGGCGCGGTCGCGAACATTGAACATGCCCGGTGTTCGAGCCACAAATGCTTCATAATAGTGACTAGGTATCTTCCGTTAACACTAATAGATTTCAACCAGGTAGGAGATATAACGTACTCCTTGAGGAAGCCGTTTCCATGTGCATAAACAATATTCAATGCCCGTTCATCGGCGATAGATACATGGTTGAAACCAATCCGGACAACTTTGCCGTGTTTTCGATGCGCCGCGTCGACTGCCGCGTATTTCTGGCCATGTTTCGCACTTAAACCGACCCATATGTTGCTGAATTTGGCAAAAAAAGGACCCGGGACTCGACTTAAGTGCCCATATGATACTAGATAGGGGTATATGTAGTAGAAGGCGAACCACACGGGGATAGCCACAGCCATGGCCCACGGCGAGAGCAGAAGAGATAGAATAGCCATTTGGTAAATCAATCAAGATTGAATAAATTGAGGAACTAGCTATCAATCCATTATCTTCCCTCGTCTTAAATGAATTCTGTTGCACTCAACATTTCACATGTGTATTGTCCGTCCGACGGAGTACAAGCAACACCGTCGGAGGCGAGAGGCCGATATGAAGGATCGATGCACAATGACCAAAGAACCTGCGGATGATTGACCCCGCAAGATTTTCACAAGGAAATGCACACAATTCGAGTGTAGGCCCATGGCCACTTATTCCAAGATTGTTCTCGATTGTCGACGGGGATAAGTGGCCATAACGCGGTATTTTTGTTTACTGAGATGTCCGCTCTCACAGACTTCTTTCTAGATACTTCTATCCAAACAAGTCCTCCTTGGAGACGCAGCCCCATTTGAAACAAGTGGCTCATTTATGGGTATATGCCGCTCATATATGGCTTTCTAAGCCTTTAGAAAAAGACCGAATGAGTGTGTCTGCGTTGCAAATTGACTGCCTCGCAGTTCTATACCGACTCGATCGGCGCTGATCTTTGGTCAACCCCCCTAGAATCTCTCGTTCGCAAAGCAATGCAATTAAATCTACACCGAGATCCCAAACACCTCTCAGGCATATCTGGGGCCGAAATCCGAGGCTCTGGGCCATAATTATCGAAGTGACTGCGCAGTCATCTTTGGATTCGACCCTGCCAGCCAGAAACAATAATAACCAGATCTCAGTCAAATGTGATTCTATCGTTCCTGTCATTGAGAAATTTCTGTTCTTCCAACGAAAATTGAACGAGCGAGGTAAATGAGCCGCTGCGATGCCCAGGTTGTTTCCCCCTCATGAGTTAGCAACTACGCTATGCCTATTTGGGTATAGCTTCCACCCGGGAAATCAAATCACGTAATCACGGGGCTGCCCGTCCCCGCCAGGGCTTCGTTCGTATGTACTCGATCCCTCCAATTATGGGAGTTGGCATCATTGCCGAGATACCGTCTCTGTATCAAAGATCACGTATTTACTTGTGCACTATGCTGAACCAGAACACAAATGGCTACATCTCCAATCGCCCATTTCGAGATTCCAAGAAATTCCATAAACAGACAAACTGGAGACAAAAAAAACAACCCCCCGAATAAATGGGTATCATATTCGACGAAGATAGAATTCAATCTCATCTGAATGAAACTCCACTGTCCCATAAACTACCTGGAAAGAGACGTTCTTCGCGATTTGAACCTAGACGAGACAATTACGTACAACCTGCGGAGGTTGGGAACTCGAAATTTTCATTAGCAGCCTCGGAAGAATCAGGTGCTTATCCAGTATAAGCCTAGCGGATGCCATTGTCTCATTGTGTCTGCGGCTTGGCACGACACGACCTACTTTTTTACCTGCAGAATACAATTCAACCGAATCTAGCGCCAGGAATCTTGCGAATCAGTAGTCTCTCCTCGTGTCCCAATCAATATGATTGATACAAATCGCTTTAGCAGACTCCACTGTGCTCCACATCTAATCGGACAGCGTACCTTCATAAGGGTAGACTGTCATGGCGCTGAGGGGGGTTACTCCACACAGGTCCGACCATCGGTTGATTTTAACTCTTTGATCTTATCTGATCCATCTTTCTTCATTTTGGTTTCTCCTTCTTTTCCTTCTTTTACATCTGTTAGGCTGAACTTATATACCAATCTGGGACACAGGTCGCAAAATCATTGATAAACCACCCACGAGATCTCGACACAATGGCCAGCGACGCTCTACCCAAGGATCAGGACCTTTTCGACCCTGAGACGCAAGGAATCTTGGAAGGAAATGCCCGATTCCGCCGTTTAGGTTGGAAACGGCTCACTGTCATTTCGATAGTTGAGGCAATCGCTCTGGGTAGCCTAGGACTACCATCTGCATTCGCCGCTCTCGGAATGGTCGCAGGTGTGATCCTCACTATTGGACTTGGCTTCGTTGCAATCTACGCGGGCTATAACATCGGCGAAGTCAAGCTGCGATATCCACAAGTGGGTCATTATGCAGATGTCGGCCGACTTCTACTAGGAAATGTGGGATCAAAGCTCTTCGTAGGCAGCTTTGTTGCTCTTCTTGTCTTTGTTATTGGGTCGCACTGCTTGACTGGCGCGATTGCGTTCCAGACTATCACTCAAAGCAGTTCGTGCTCGATTATCTTTAGCGTTGCATCTGCTGCAATCCTGATGCTGCTCGCTATTCCTCCGTCATTTGCTGAAATTGCGATCCTGGGCTATATTGACTTCGCGTCAATTGTTTTGGCTATTGGGGTTACGATGATTGCGACTGGTATTCAAAGCTCGAATGGCTCGGGTGACTTTTCTGCGGATCACTCGCCGTGGTCTGCTTGGCCGAAGCCTGGTCTCACTTTCTCTGCGGCTATCGTAGCCACCAATAATATTGTCTTTGCATATTCCTTTGCTGGATGTCTACCGTCATTCATGGAAGACATGCATACCCCCGAGGATTATGTCAAGACACTATGGTGGCTAGGAGGTATCCAAGTTGTGATCTACACCCTGACAGGGTCAATCATCTATGCCTTTGTCGGACAGGAGGTGCAATCACCTGCTTTGCTGTCGGCGGGCCCTGTCATCTCGAGGGTTGTTTTCGGTATCGCGCTTCCGGTTATCTTCATTTCGGGGTCTATCAACACAACAGTTGTGTGTCGATATATCCACGGAAAGATATACCGGGACTCAATCGTTCGCTTCGTGAACACCGCGAAGGGTTGGAGCACATGGCTTGGTCTTGTGTTTGTTGTTACCATCCTAGCCTGGTTAATTGCTGAGGCCATCCCTATCTTTTCTGAGTTGCTCTCTATCATTTCTTCCTTGTTTGTGTCGGGCCTATCTTTCTATATCCCACCGATCATGTGGTATGTGCTTTTGAAGGAGGGCGCATGGTACGAAAAGCACAATCTGAAACCTGCAATTTTGAATGGCGTGGTATTCATCGTCGGCATGATAATTTTCGGATGCGGTACCTATGCTAGCATCGCTGAACTTGTGAGCCCTTCTTCCTTTCACCTTCCGGAAATATTGCTAACTCTATGCTTCATAGGTTGATAAATTTGAGTCGGGCTCAGTAAGTAAGCCATTTACCTGTGCTTGAAATATCGCAACAGTCTGGTGATGTCTGGCTTCCTGCCTTCTCAATTGGAGACCTGATCCATTATAGTTCTGCGTATATAAAAGTTTGACTCGCAAATAACTATGACAGTGGTTTACTTGGATATAACTCCAGCGATCTCTTTTTCTTTCTCCTTCTTGCGATCTACTATATCCACAAGGATAGAGACTACAAAATGCGGCTCCAACATAAGTCATTAGAAGCGGCTTGGTCTGCACGCAATTAGAATCGACAAAGAAGAACGCGACTTTCGAGGCATGGATTATCCTGTACAGAAATATATTTGCGTAAATATAGGTCGAGACTTTCAGCAAATTACAAAGTTATATTGGGGACTAGGCCCTTTTGGGTGCTTAGATTTACAAGGGGGGGAAAGTACTTTGATGTTTTGTTTCTACGCGGCATCAGAGAAGGGTGGTTTAGATGAACCTCTTTTCATCACTGCTCCTTTCACTCCTCCTCCATCGGTGCTCCATCTCCACCCCACTGGTTCTGCTCGAAGAATGCTTGCAAGGCGGCATCATCATCGCCCATAAGTGCCGGGTCATTAAACATTGTAGGATCTATACCGGCCAGGAAAGTAGGTTCACTGTCATCCGCTAGGGGCTCTTGCCCGGCGGGAGCTAGGGTAAAATTAGGGTCGGTAGCAGGGCCACCGCCAGCGGCAGATTTGGGCATTCTCTTTCTCTTTCGAGCCGGCGGAGCTTCTCCCTCGGCCTCAGTTTCTGCTCCTCCTTTTCCTGCCGCTTCTGCTATCTTCCGCTTGGTTTTGGCGTGTCTGTTGGCCGCATATCGAGCTACCTGTTCCATTCGGCGGTTAGGAGTGATCGCATTACCACCCAATTGTTCAGCGGGACGAGCTAATGCTGGCTGGTTAGCGGATAGAGCCCCTCCTATAGAAGAAGAATGTTAGTATGCGGTCAATAATCATATTTGGAAAGGAAAACTTACCTTTTGGAACACCGTTTCGAATGATAATAGTCAAATTAGGTCTGGGTAATGGTGAGCGCCTCGAATTTTTATAGGGCTCAGGGGAGGGATTTCGAAGCTTAGGCCAATGCTCACGGATAGTTCGCAAAAGTGTAGATGCTAGGTTGAAGGAAGTTAGTCGTGACTCGCCAGGATGTGGGTTATCAATCAGCGTAGGATCAATTTCCTCCAGAGTGAGATGACTTAACCAAACTGTATCCCCATTAACCCAATACCCTTCTTGGGTGAGATTATCTCTTAACAATTCAAATTGGATGTTGGAGATATTGATCCAATCCCCGTCAGGGCATATATCCAGCGGGTTTCCTTTGTCTGTTAAAAGGTCACTCACCCTAATTGCGATTGGCATGTCCGGATAATCTGCTCGGATAATCTGGATGTCACCGTTGGGCACAATGAAGGGCCGGTGGTATTCGAATTTCTGCGGTTCTTCTGAATTTGCTGGATTTTGTGTTAATCTTCGTGCTGGCGCTTGCACTGGTGCTTGTCCTGCCTGTTGTCCTGTCTGCTGTCCCCCTGCCTGGCCAGCGGTATTTCTTGCTTGATCTTCCTGGCGTTGGCTTGCTTCAAAGTCCAACTGCAAGTCATCGTGAATAGTAGTGAGGTATTTATACAACGCCCCACTAAGAAGGTCAATGTCTGTTACGTGATTCCTAACGGCCAATGGCAATCTCAATATTCGCTTGCGCCACTCAAATAGGATTTGATTGCGTGAAGAACTCGATCGGAAAACGTTGCCGATGATGACGCCTTTTCTAAGAGCCTCAGTTGCGACAGCATCATAGACAACCTGTGCTACCTCGCGGACAGCCTCTTGGTCCTCGGTGCTCCGTGCTATTCCAAGACGCTTGAACACATAGGTTTGGTCGAAGGTGTGCGGCCAATTCTTGAGCGGGAGTGGCTGGTCAGTCATGTTAGCTTTGAAAAATAATATATTTGGATGCGTGGATGTCTGAGAAACCCAGGGTCATGAGAGAGAACTGCCCACCATTTAATACTTGAAATGCTCTTTGTGATGAAATATTATGCGTTGTGGCCTTGCTATTTCAATATACATTGTTAATATTTGAAAGAGACAAAGGAACAAAGAACGGAACGGGGATACCCTAAATTAGAATCAAAGAATAGACTGTATGAAAACGAGGTATTCAGGGTCAACACTAGGCAAGCAATGAGACCTTTGAATGTCGCCAACTTTAGAGTGAATGCCTAGGTGTGAGCTATTGTGGCGGGCCAGGTTTGCCATGTGTGGCCGTCGCCAACCCGCCACCTCATTCTAAGGATGGCGACATTTGTATCCAAACTCAATCATGATTCTAGACTACCACTTAGGCTTACGCAAGAATGATTTTGGATAAAAAAAAGATCAGATGGCGTTGGTGGATATTTGCGTTAACTTGGAAAATATGAACAGAAGATAGATATGAACCTCCCAAGGCGACCAAACGCCAGCAGAACCCATAGAAGAAATGACAATTGCTCGCATGCCCCTCATCCTCCTATTTGCGTGATTCGTTTTTTTAATTTGTTTTCAACATGTTAAGCACAGTTTTACGCAGAGACGTAAGCCTGGCCAGCCTGGTTGAGAGTGTTGCCGCTGAGCAAGTAGTTCTCAGCGCACATGAAGTAGGAGTAGCGAGTGACACCAGCCTGCGAATCCAACCAAGGGATAACCTCGTTGAGGAAAGCAGCCGTGGCGGCGGTATCAAAAGAGCCGTTGACATCAGAGTTGAGAGCAAACTCAGTGATCCAGACCTCAGCCAGGTTGTGCTTGGCAGCAGTGTCGACGGCCTTGGTGACGAAGTTCTTGAAGTTTTCGGCATCGTCACCATACCAGTGAACGGCCAGACCAGAGATACCACAGCTGCTGCAGCTACCGATGAAAGACTCGAACCAGTCAAGGCCGAGTCCGGCCTCAGTGGACGAGGTCACGGCGGGCGAGATCAGCTTGGCCTGGCCGGACCACGGGGTGATGTAGGTATTGTAGTAGTTGGCAGCATCCGACGGGCTCATGTCAGCCTGCGAAGGCATATCGGGCTCGTTGAATCCCAGAATGTAGCTGCTGCCACTGGACAAAGCAGTCTCGATGGCGGTCACCCAGCCGCCGAACATCTTGGGGCCCCAGAGCATGGGGACGAACTCGACATTATCGGGGAGCAAACCAGATATGGATCCGGCCCAGTTGTAGGCCCAGGAGACGCTACCACCACTAGTCAGAGCAGAGACAGTGGTGATATCGTTGTAGGCGGCACCACGCTTGCTAGAGGAGTCGCGCTTAACCTGCAGGGGGGCGGCGATAGCCGAAGTGGCGACTAGGCCAGCAGTGAAAAGCTTGGTGAAAGAGACCATTTTGAAGTCGATGGATAAAGTCACAAAAGGATAGACTTGTAAAAAAAAAAAAAGGAGGGAAAAAGAGAGAAACCTGTTCTCGACCTTATGAAAAAGGAATGTAGACTTGAAGGAAAGTGAGGCTCAGACCGTGCACGGCACAGGACTAGAAGACCAGAAACTAAATGAAGGAAAGATAGGTGATGAAGGGAGAAGAAGAAGGGGGAGGCGGAGGTTTTAAATCCCCCAGACATCAGTGTGTCAAACTTACCAGCCTAACCCGCTGGCTGGGAAGATATTCCATTTTTCGCGGGGTGGAGTGCAGATAGGAAGTGGTCATTGGATATCCGGGGACAGAGGTTCTACATCATAATGCCTTTGACTAGATTGAACGATCTGTGCAAAATATCATTGGCCCGGGGGAAGACCAGGGATGGATCCAAATGGACTGGGCCGTTGACAGAATTTGGAACCATGGTGATTGGACTGAACCGAGCGTCATTGCTTACACTTCTTACATTTTGCAGAAGAAATTTACTCCCAAGGCGCTAGTTAACACTAATCCTTTGTATTCTTCGGTATCAAATTAGCTCACATCCGGTCCAACTCCATAGCCAAGATCTATAGACCAATCCACAATAGCCTGGACCATAATGGAGGTTTGCTACATCGAATATTGTGATTGACAGGAGAGACAAGTACACAACTTGAAACTCTGTTCCTGGTGCCTGTAAATTTGTCTACAACAATAATTGGCTTACCCCTGGCAGAATACGAATGGTATGCAATGAGAACCCACGGGATACTTGGAGCCCAATGACAGAAATTGTCAGAAATTGAAGTGCAGTGGGGTGTGAAGAACGTACCACGGATAATATTGCATCATCCAATGGTTTTCTATACTGTGCAACGCGCGGTTCCCTGGCTTCCGGTCAGGGGAGCCGCTCTGATAGGTGTACCCTACATACACTGTCATCTGGGCCCTCGGGTGACCAATCATATCATTGTGTTATTGAACATAAACCTAGGAACACGATGAAAACACCCAAATATCACACTACGACAATTTAAATTGCGCCCCAGATTTTAATGAGGTTTTTCAAGATTGTTTCAATCGAATAGATCAGATTCAAAAAAGATTGCTATTCATCACACCCAAAGGCGTCAACTAAAACTGGATATGACACACCGTAAATGCGCCACCACATCGATGCAACTATGGATCGAATCGGCCACTCATAGTGACACCAACCTCCGATCGACGCCATGTTTCACCTTCAACATAAGACCTAGACCGTCGCTCCCTTTCACCGGTATCCCGGTGTGCTTCCTTACTTCTGGATCGGCTGGGGGCGTTGTTCTAGGGCTAGAAGGAAGAGGGGCGCGCCGTCTGAAACCAACTCTTCAGCCCCCACCCCTGTAGCCGATCGGTTGCCGAAAAACGGCCATGACAAGCCTTGCCGGACTACACGCCGGTGTTTGATTCCAGTACTCCGTATATATATTACGTTTGGATTGGGCGCCCCATTCGGTGTTATTCCCCGGTTATACTTTAGCGAAGGTGTGCATTTTGTCTGGGTTGCTTTGTCCCACCTTTGAGTGATTTGCTAGTAATTTTCTCCCTAGGTTAATCACTGATCAATGCTGTAATCCCCGATTGGGCATACTCGGTACACAAGTACACTGGAATGTGGATGAAGGTTTACATGTCAAATAGATTCTGAATTTTTTTTTTTATCATCCGTGGTACTCCGTACTCTACAGGTTTCTTTCAATTTAAAACTCATTGTCCCTCCCCCGGACTAATAGTTGCCACAAGAATCAGGATGAGATCAGACTTCAGTCACCCGCTGCAGCCAAGGTCCCGGGCATAATTCCGAGGCATATGCATGCCTGTATCTCTATTTCCAATAACCAAGACTGGGGTTCTTCTCATCTGAAACAGACTAAACTCCACCGACCCTCCCCATCAACGTGGACCAAGACTCTAAATCTACTCCCGTTCAAGGCTATGCAGCATACTTTCTCGGGCTATTAATTTCCGCAATATGATTATCATAATTCTCTCCGAGAAAAAAAAAAAAGAAAATATCACAGGTTGTGGCCGCGTTGGCAATCAATGTGGGTTGTCTCAATAGACTCGCTTCTAGCCCCCGGCTCCCACTTTCCCACTAGCACTCTGCCCACGTCATCCTACTGCGCAGCCCTGAGGCTTGCTGACTTACTACATTGTACACATCGAGAATCCCGGAAATGAATAGGGTTGGGGAGGTTCTTCATTCAATACTTACCAATCTCATTCTGGGGCAGCCTTCGCTCTCCTGCTAAAACTATCATCCCAAGATTCTTACCAGTTTCGACTAACCCCCGAACTTACAATCCAGCAGCCTGGCTAACGAGGACCATTTTAAGATTGTCACGCGTCGTCCTGGCCGCCAAGCACTCATTGTGCTGGGCATATACCGGAGATACTGGACTACTCTATGATTTGGGTAGCTATGGTAGCCGATACGAAGGTGTCTTCAAATGGATGTCGTTCATTGGTTCAAGTACGAGTTGGTACATACCTTTGATTGAGTTGATATGAAAAATTTACCTCATATTCCTATGGGATACTCACTTTCACTATGCCCTCTGTTTCTCAGATATGGAGGCGATGCGAGTCTCCTTGGTCTCAACATTAATGGCGCCGGACATGTCGTTTTCGGTGTTGATACTAGTATCACTGCCAACACATCTCTGTTAATTTCGGACCATTACGCCTATTCGGAGGCCTCTTTTGCACGGGTAGTTTCCTTATGCACAGGTATCCTCCCTGTGCGCATCGGGCCCTTGGTTGTGGCCGTTCTGACCTCTACAGCGGCATCCACGGCTGTCTGGTTATCTCAGCATGCATACGAACATCTCATTGACAGCGTACACAAGGCTTCTCACTGCTTCGCTAACTCCAGCAAATTATCTTCGTCTTGTTCAGCACCTGCTAAACGGTTACTCGAAAATATAGGTAGATGTAAGCAACCATGCGGATATCTTTGGAGTAAAGTGTGATATTTGCAAAAGCTCACACATATTGTCAATAAATTTGAACATATTAAAACATATTCTACAATTCCTACTTTTTGAAGTTTCCAAACGCTGCAGTCTTAGTGGTTGTTGGTAATGGACCTACATAACGAATTGCACAAGTGTATCCTCAATCCACCCAACCATTAGATGCCTACAAGGCATTCAAGTATTCGACAAGCTAAATCACTATATAGTCCACTTTTTGTAAATAAAATACCACATCAAGCAACTCATCTATACCTCCATCCAATCACAAGTACTGCCCATAATCACACCAAATAAAGCAGGCGGTGAACACCGATGATGTAAATTGTCCGCATCATCAGAACAGCTCCCCCAACCTTGGAATCTTCAATTACTATATTCTTCCACAACCTGCAATCCAATCACCCTCACACAATGCTTTCTCGCACAGCCCCTCGAGCTCTGCTCGCTTCCGTGCGCCCATCCATCCGCACAACAGCACCCACTTCAACTCTCCTCCCCCGGGCCTTCGCCATTCGCCCCAGCTCCGCCTCACAGTTCCCCCGCTCATTCCAGTCCTCCCCGGTAATCCGCAAAGGCATTCACCCAGAATCAGCAGACCCTCCAGCTCCGAACCCACAGCAGGGCTCTGTTGCCGGAGCTGCTGCACATGTCAGTGAGCCCTCGCCGTTGACGCCCGAGGAGTACTACGAGTACTCGGAGCATTATTTCAATGTGCTGCAAAACCACCTGGAGAAGGCACAGGAGGAGGGGTCGGATGTTGAGGCTGAGTACAGTGTATGTTTTCCGAGTTTCTTTTCAGTCTATTATCTTTTGCTGAGTTTCCATCTTCCTTTTCCCTATCTTTCTCGGTCTACACAAAGACCTTCTGTTAGAATGGCATATAAAATATAGAATACTAACCCGCTCTTTTCCTCCAGGCTGGTGTTCTGAACGTCTCTGTTCCTGCAATCGGCACCTATGTACTCAACAAGCAACCACCCAACAAGCAGATCTGGCTCAGCTCGCCCATCTCCGGGCCGAAGCGGTACGACTGGATTGTCGAGGGCGATTATATGCACGAGAAGCAGGATTCGCGGCCTTTCGCCAGTGGGCAGTGGATCTACCTGCGTGATGGATCTAATCTAACCGAGTTGTTGAACACCGAGTTGACCTTGCGTTTGCCCAAGGATATCTACAGTGAGATCGTTGAGTAAGTTTGAATCGTCTTGCTGGGCTATCGATTACCTAGAAAGAAGAGGATTCTTGTCATTCTATTACTCATTTGGGATGCTGTTACATATTGTAGTATAGTGTCTATTTTTATGATGCGGTTGCATTAAGATCTCTCACGTATCCTTTTTCTCATAAAGTTACTATAGGGAGACGGACGAATAAATTGGGAACATAGTTGTGGGTATCAATTGAGGTAAATGCACTAGCTGGGTATAGAGTGATGGTGTGTGGCGGGAACACAATGCTAATGAGGGAAAAAGCCTTCTCATCGCCCCAATTGAACGCGTGGATCAAAGTGCTGTTCTTTCTTTTGAATGAAGGCGAGATGTACATAGCCAAAATATAATCTCAACCCGATGAAGCAGTGTCCTGCTTGGCCAAGTGATATCGGCCAAGGCAAAACTCACGCTGGAGACAAAGTCGACGGAGTCTGAGTCAACATTGAGTACACTGGGCGAGGACAGCGGGTATCCGAGTGCGAGTGGCCAATACAAAAAGCCCCGGGGGACACCGAGTCACTTGGCAAAACGCATATTGACGATAATCGCTGCAGAACATGAAACATGCTCGCGCGATACGGTGTTTGAAGTGAGCTCCGCTGGACCAAAGCCGCCCAAACTCGGCGGGACGCAGTATGCAGTCCACGACGAGTAGTCATAACTGGCAGATGACAAAATATCCAATTCTTCAAGCCACTTGTGCCAAAATAATGAGAATGGGCGCAAGCCGACTTTCAAAAATTAACAGCATGATCCTTCGCTTCGGGCTGGGATTGACTCGATACTTTCGAGGGTATTTCGCATAATCTCCATTGTCATGCTCAGGCCTGCGCATCGGCTTTAGGAAGATCGGCCTGCAGATACCCCGCGGGGCGTATAATTAGCCAACTGAGCATATAAAGCGAGATGTGTCTGGTTGTAGGATATGGAAGCATACCACGTCAAAGATAACCCGGATCATGAGACTGCAACTCGGACACACAGCGATCTCTTCGCCGTCGCGCAAATCGTCGATTGCGATCTCGAAGCGATCGCCACATGGGCAGGGATATGTGTAGATCTGGATATTCGGGTCGAAGGTCATGTCCTCGATCTCGATCTCGTCGTAGATGTTCAGTCCTTCGTCGGCCATTTTGAATAATTCTCAGAATGTACAAGAGAGATGTGGCGAATGAGTAGGTCTTGTAGCGTTGACTCAGGGCAAAAAAAGTTTGGCGCGGTCATGTGATGCGCGGGGTTAAGACAGGGATATCCCCGGATTTAAGACTCGATGAACTATGAACTTTCATCACAAAATTATCTGTGTATATACTTAGTATGTTATGCTTCTGGCTCAGAGTGTTGAATTCACCGGTCTCATACCACATTCCCCATTCCTTATGCCTCGTGGACATCATACCTGCTGCATAGTTCTAATATCTAGCGCGTGTTGGGGTCCTATGGTGGTTTCTCTAAGTCAGTTATATCCATCAATAATATTTTCTTCTTACTTCCTTGTGACCCTAATGTTCCGCATTCTAGACTTGTCCCTGGTGCCAAGAGGTGAATTTCGTTTGATGGGTGGGTACTAGGGGAGCATTACAAGTATCTTTTTATTATTATCGCGAGTATACAGATAATCTAGAAAAAAGGCGGATCAGGTTCAGCATTTTTGATGCAAAATCCATTTCCCCATAGCATTCTCAAATTAGCAAAATGGGAGTACCAGCTTAGCAAGACACGCATATATCTAACAAATCCTTGGGACCTTTGCAACGGTGTTTCCTTGCGGTAAAGGCCATGCCCATTCTAGAAGCATGTTCAGCTTTTACAAATAGTCTTTTCTATCAATCATGTCGAAGTGCCTTTGCCCCCAGATAGGGACAGCAATCATACGTCCTAGATCTAAGACCTGTGTGTATTGAATATAAAACTTTCCACCATCAAGATAGGATTGAAGAATACGGCGTGCGCCAAATTGATCCATAAGAATGGCTAGTTGCTAAAGATATGTCAATAGGAATAAGAAACTATAGATATTGAAGTATAAGAGACAACCTTACATGGAAGTGAAGTAGCACTTGTCTGACCCATTCTGATGAACCTCGGCCATTTCTTTGTAGGTTAATGCGACAAGAACAAAGAGCTCCATAGAGGAAGGGCGTTCGTCAGAACCGTGGAGTGTCAGTGACCTTTGTGGGTATGACAGGACACTGAATCCAGATGAGATTCCAGCATACTGGATTGTCTAGATTCAAAGTCGATGTAAGACCGTTCGAATACGCCTATAAGACGATCCAAGGGATGATGCGTGTTACTAGTGGTCCAATTCAGCACTCAATAAATTTGAATAATTCAACCATGCTTATGTCTGGCCGGCTTCTTATCCATCTACTGTTAGGAATCCTAGTATAAACTTAGTAGGCAAATTATAGATAAGAGGTATACGAACTCTTCATAAAAGTCGGCCTCCAAAGCATCGTTCATAAAGGAAAATTGTTGAATCCCGAGATCATAGCAAGTGGAACCATCGCCATCTGCAATGATTCAAGAATCAAAGGATGCGAACGAGAACCTGGCCGTCCAGACCAACTTCCAATTCCCAGCAAGGGCGACAAATTTGCCAGGTTTGGAGAATCCATAACATCTGCAAAATCAAGATGCGGTAGAAACTAGCTTGTAACGGAAGTTGAACCAATGCGGATATCAAGGTGATCAAGATCGACTCCGAGATCAAAAAGTTGCTGATCTGTCATAGGAAGCTTCCTGTTCTCGTGAAGGGTGTTGTATATCTTCTCCGTCGTTCAAAATTGGGGGGTTCACTTCCTGATCTGCGTAAGGGGACACTTAAGGGTAGGTAACTCGTTGGGCGAGATGGTGATATCCGAATATCTTCCAAGGTTGGCATATCAAACAGGCCATACCCGACCACATTTTCCCTAATGGTGTCGGACTTGTGTGTGATGAAGTTCTTTCCGCGAGACTACAATCTTGATGGTACCACAATCTCTGCCTTGCTCAATTGGCATGAATCATTTTGCCAGTTCCTATTAATCCACATGCTCCGTGTCGTCCGACCTAGTTTAACTTCCTAAGGTTCGTCGTTTTGCTGTGCGAGATGTATGTGTTTTAGTTACGGAGGGAGATATGAAGAAGAGAATTTATCTGCTATTCAATCTGGAAGCAGGATATTTATACTGCTGTCTGGCAAACAATCGCCAATGAGATGGTCCAACAGTATGAAGCTGTATCAATGTGACAGCGACAATGCGGCCTCGAGGTTGTCGAGGCCAGTCATTTAGTGTGTCCTCTATAGCTGCTATAGAAATCAGACTTGTGTAATCGGGCTTGGGGACCCCGAGACTGTAAGGAAGAAGTGAGGCTCTCTCACATGACCGTCAATGGGATGTCTACGGCTACCGGAGGTCTACTAATCTACAGGTGAAATATTGCATGTGCTCAAGCTGTATCTTGATTCAATTATATCCTACCTGGGGTATGTAGTTGTAGTTTATTTCTCTAATCGTGCAATTTCCATCTTTACTTCTTCAACTTCTCTCGCCAAAACCCCATACCGACGAGCAATATCCTCGAAAGTCCCCTCATCCACAGCGATGTCAGTAGCCGGATCAGACATTTCCACATCGCCATAAGCTCTCAGCTCCTGAATCGTCATTTTCCGACGGTGCTGCAAGCGCTCCTTGGTCTGCCTCAGATGCTGCCTATACCGAGCAAGGGCAGCAAGTGTTTCCGGAGTATAGAGCGTGGCCGCAATCTCCAACTTTGTAACCCTATCCAATCGTTAAAAGGCCAATTCCACCAAAAAATAACAGCAAGACTTGAAAACCGGGAAGGAAAAAAACTTACTCTAATTTCCCCTCCACGCCCTGCGCAACAACAGCCAAATGCTCCGCCTTAGCTTTCGTCGCGCGCGCCAAGGCCCCATGCTTCGCCCGCTCCAGAATCACGACAGTGCGCTCCAGGACTCGCGCCCGCATGGCAACAACCTCCGCCGCCGTAGCAGCCATCTTCCGCCGAGCGACGGGCAGCTCGGACAGCTGTGTGTGGCGCAGCGCGCGCACCCGCGCTTGTAGCTGTGACGACAGCAGTGGGACTGGTGCCATCGAGGTCCGGACTCGGCGGTCGCGCGCTCGGGCGCGTGCGTTGTGGTTCGAGTGCTGTGGGTGGGCGTCTGCGTCGGGCGCGGTGACTGGGTCTGTGTTTGCGGTTGATAGTGCGCGTAGGTCTTGAATGGCGGATGAGAGGGATTTGGAGAATGGCAGGATGAAGGCTGGGATATTGGTGTAGAAGGCTTCGATTTCGGGTGCTAGGAGGGAGAGTGCTTCGTCTGGTTTCTTGGGCTCATTTTCTGACTTGGGGTTGGTGGGTTCGATTGTGCTGGTTGGGGTATCGAGGTAAAGGGTTATTATAGCGAGGTTATCATGGCACTGAAGGTAGTATATTCATTAGGGATGTGGCTTTCCTCTTGATGGGTTGGTGGCCTATAGCAGGTGTTGTACTAACCTCCGCGGGTAAGCTGCTGTCTGGGGCGAAGGCCAATTGTCGGAGCATTTGCTCCTTGATTCGCTTTTTGGCATGTTGAGCCTGACATTGCTTCAACTCCTAGTGATAGAGTGTCAGGGCGCTGTTCGTGTCTGGGTCCGTTTGGTATGTGCTGCGCAATGGCGACTACTTACTTCCACCACAGCTGTGCGGGCTGGGCTCGCGCCTTGAGCACGCGTTGAGGCATCTGGGTTGAGGAGGGAGATTGTTAGATCCTCATATAGTCGTTTGAATTGAGGGTTGTGCTCAAGAATTGAGGGGTCGCATGGAGGAATCATGTTGATGTTGCAAAGAAACTGGGGAAGTTCACCGCCGAAGAAGACCCGACACACGGCCAAGACATACTAGAAAGAGATGCAAGCTATACTTTGTACATTCAAACTACATGTGTAACTAGCACCTAGGAACTTAGATACTTTACTATTACAAGTACATATTCATTTTGCATTTCCGCGTTTCTTTCGTAATCATACAAGTTGAAGCTAAAGCTTCGGTTCACCTCTTCCATCCGCAACGTCGTCGGAGAAATAGAGCAACCTCATCCACCTATCCTGGTTGTGAAACGAAACGGGAAAAAAGGTGTACACACAGGCATAGGGGAAGGGAAATTCAAAGGGTCAAGTAGATGAAATCCTGTTCGGCCAATCTTGAGCATAAGGTCCATCGGTGGCAGCAGAAACCTTGCCGTGTGCAGGGGTATTCGAAATCAAAGTATGTACAGACGTTGCCGGCTGGGATTGTATAGCGCATTGCAAGCCCACCAGGATCCAGCGGTGTGACTGAAAGAGAAAGAAGATATGGCGAGAAATTGTTCGGAAAGGCACTGGGGAAAACGACGCTTGGAACGCAAGTCAGGCTGAAGAGCCATCCCGTATGGAAAAAATGGCAGGATTGAATCGGAAGAGTATATTCTTTACTCCTCCTCGCTCTCCTCCTCGGACGAATCAGACTCATCATCGCTGCTTTCGTTGTGCTCAACCGAGGCCACTGGGTCGGGAGAGTGAGGACCACCCTGGAAACGCGAAAGGTTGCTCTGGAGCATATTGATCTGCGCTTCCTGCTCAAACTTGCTCATTGGCTTGTTCTTCTTGGGTTTGGGAGGTGCCACACTGCTAGCAGGGAGATCATCTTCATCTTCATCGTCCATAAGATTCGGTACGTGCTTCTTCACGAAGTTAAGCAGCTTCAGCAAGACATCGTTAGGGAGCTCGTCGATGTCCAACTCAATTTCGGCTTCATCGGTGCCCTGTGGAATCTATGTTAGAATCGGTTCGTGCATAATGATAATGTGTAAAAATCTTACCTTGAGTTGAGGAACGTTGTTCTGGATAATCTGAAGGGCTTGCTGCATCCTCTTATCAGGAAGACTACTGATACCATTCGAGATGATCTGTTTCTCGTTGTAGGTGATGGCGCGGGTCTTGCCAGGTAGAGAGCTCTTGCTCTTCTTGTCTCGCTTTCCAGAGCTGATTTTCTTGGAATCCTTCTTAGCAAGCTTGGTCTTGCCGACCTTCTTAGACGAAGGGGGAGTCTTCTTTTTCTTGTTGGTAATAGCCTCAACCTGACGAGACATCTCAGCAATTTGCTTCTGAAGCAGCGTGAGTTTCTCGTCATCTTCTTCGCTCTCTTCTGCATCCTCGTCACTATCTTCATCAGAAGAATCAGTGTTCTGTTCGGGGTGTGGTTCATGCGCTTCGAGGTAGTCCGACTTCTGGGCCCACTTTGCGTTGAAGATTTCTTCAGCTCTCTGGCCACAGACGTAAGTAGGGTCACCAGGGATATTGAAGCGGTAGCAATTCTTAAAAATGAGGCGGACATCATTCTCGAACTCCTTGGCATTTTCGTACTGGCCGGCCTTGAGTTTGTTTTGAACGGTCGACAGATCCATCGGCTTCTTGACAACGCTGTGATATGTGGGGATATTCAAAGCAACGGGATCCACGGGGTAATAGAAAGGCATCACCCAGCTGTAGTGCTTTTGTTTGTGTAGCTCATCCAAGACTTCCTGGCAGAATCGCAATTCCCATTGGAACTTCTTCTTCTTTGGCTTGGTAGAATACGGGAGGTCACGCTTCGGGGGATGAATTGACCGTTTGGGGCGACCATCAGGGTTGGAAGAATCGCGGCGGATGACGGGCAGACCTTCGGGACCTAACGCAAATGTTTGGGACTGGGGAGAGGCAGCCTTTGGCTGACTTGGGAGAGAAGTCCGGTGCTCCCGGCGAGCAGCAGACGTCTTCTCGGTCTGTTTCTTCGGTTTTCTCTCCTCAACCTCTTCGGGCTTGGGAAGGTTGGTCATCTGCTTCTCGAAGGTCGCCTTCAGCTTGATCCCCTCTTGGGTGACCAGGTGGTCTGGGCCATTAAAGATGGTGGTATTATTGACCATTAGTGCAAAATCATCTGCGACTGCCTGGGGGGAAGAATATTGGTTATTCCTGAGCTTCCTTTCCATGGTTCCCAGGTCCATTGGTTGGGTGATAATAGTGTGGTATTGCGGAATGTTCAACTTGACAGCATCCACAGGTTCCTTGTAGAAACGCGCATCGTGCATGCGCTTGAGGCTTGTAAGGCTCTTCGAAATGAACTTGTGTTGCATTTTAGTGAGCCCTGGTCCACCACTAGTGCGATTTGAACCAGGTGTTGCAGCAGCCGGGGTGTTGAATCCCGGTGTCTGAAAGTTAATAACCGAGTCATCACCCTCGACCTTGGTACGCTTGGGAGCTGGTTCTTCGCTGAGATCAGCATCCCGTTGGCGGGACATCTTGGAAGGAGATAGCGGGGCCTCAGATGCGTCCTTCATCTCCTGGTCAACGGGCTGCGGCGCGGTGAAAGCAAGTGGTGCGGAGGCCGGGGTAGGATGATGAGGCAGGTCAGTTTTCACAGCAGTCGAAACATCTTGGTTGTTATCGATGGCCATTGGCTCGGATGTGTCATTGGATCCATCTGCGGATGCAGGAACTGTGGGAGGTGCCACAGCCTGGGGGGTGGACGGAGCGACACATTCAGCCGCAGCGTTAGCTGCACCAGGAGCGGTAGATTCCCGAACCTGCAAAGGACTCTTCTTTTCTTCGGTCGGCTGTGTCTCCGAGGGTGGAGCAGATCCCGCCGCAGGTGATGGCTTGTTTTGGATCATTTCTGGGGAGGTATGATTATCGGGGGACTTGGGCGGTGAGGTCGCAACGATTGTACCATTGGTGTTCGAAGACGCGACAGGAGTGTGGCCATTCAGCGTAGGTGATTTAACCTCGGCATCCGCGGAACCATCAGTTTGGAGATTTACTGCGACATTTTGCGTGCTGCGCACCAGTCAGATCAAGAACAGAGCAGATAGTGAAACTGATGTACTTACCTGTTGGGTGGGTAGTCAGGCGCAGAAGGGCCAGTAGGCGATGGAGGCAATTGAGGCTTGTCCTCCTTCGTGACAGGCGGAACCTCGGGAGGCGGGGTCGCCATTGGGGTCGCGTTGGATAAACAAGAATACAAGATAGGGAAGGGTGAGAGTGTTGAAGATGTGAGAGTTATGGGGAGGTGCTTTGAAAGCTAGTGATCAACTGAAAACACCCGTGGAGCTCTCGCCGCGAAACAATCTCGAGTGAACAAACACTAGCGGCAACCGAGGGCACGTAGTGTGGACTCAACGGTTGATGAGGCTTGATATCAAACGTGTCGCGAAGAAAACGCGGGCGGGGAGGCGGGAGTGAGGTCAGAGATGATCGGGAGATAGGAAGAGTGGAGAATGCGATCGGAGACGAGGTATTTATACTGCCAAGGCGGTATAAAAACTCTCACGTGATTTAAAATTGAAGCCAGGTCTAGATGACTTGGTAAGATGTATGGAGCTAAACAGTTCCGATGCCTGAGGCAGCAGGATAAAAGGGAATTATGAAAATGAAAATAAAAATAAAAAAATAAAAAAATAAAAAAAGAATTTGGGGGAAGGGCGGTTAAAAGGGGAGAAAAAACCGTGACGCGACGCGTTTGTTATGGGTTCTTCTTATAAGGCGGTCAGGGGAATAAAAATAGGAGAAACCAGGACAGAAGCAGAAAAATGTCGGGAGGGGATGCCAGAATCCTTAAGTACGAACGGCCGCCTTGCGCTCTCCTGTTACCCAGTTCCACCAGCCACACTAGTCCCGATTCTGTTAACCTTCTTCCCCCTTGATTGGTTCTATACCCCTGGAATCTTTTTTCTTCTTCTCTTTTCTTTTCTTAACTTTTCTCTTTCCAAGCTGAACGCCTTATTCTGAACTAAAAGTTACTCCCCATCTTTCTAATTTTACTCATTTCTTCCCAACTTTAGCTATTAGAGGTTTAATAAAACCCTTCAGTGGACGCATCTCTCGGATGACTCAAAGCCCTAGGGTTCTGGCTGAATCCGGGTTAGGCCGTGATGGGTCTGAGTCACGTCACCACTCGAACTTTCACGTGACTAAATCATGATGAGTACACGTATTGTACATTGATAAGAATATATCCTTTCAATGTTCTATGTATACATTTAACGCAAGGCACATGTTATAAAATATTAAAACATCTATAACTAGATCACAGAGTAGGCTAGTATCTAGTTCCCCGCTAATCCATTTCCAATCGACATTTTGCATTTACTGCCAATGGCAGTGGACAGCTGTACCCGATCCTTACAGGTTAGGCAAATATACATATGTCACATGATCTGGGAGTTGGGGGTAGGTACTTTGGTCTCGAAGATCTGCCCAATGGGAGTCTGATGCCTTGAAGTATGCGATACATAATTTTTAGTGCTGCACAATTTAGATAGCTTAAGTTTATCTGTAACCGCTGTAACAAGGGCTTTGATTTTGCTACTGTCTTGTTTTTTTACATATGTTTAGAGTTTAGTTTGGGTCATATAATGAACTTGAAATTGTTGCTATTATCGTCTTGGATTTATAAACAAATCTTCGGGATGTATGCAGGAAGTATATGTTGAAATGGCCTGCAAATGTTATATATTTTCGCTCGAAGGGATGTTGCTACCGAAAGTGCCCAAATTAAAAAAATGTAGTGTAACACTAAAGCCCCTATATATAGAAAGAAAAGGCCCTGGTGGACCTCAGGACATAAACGAAATCAAAAATTCGACCAAAATGAACCATAGAGCGACAGAGTTACTCCAGTGCCTACTCAACTGATATTGAAGCATCTCGAGGTCACGGGATGATATGATTAGATAAGAACATTTGACGGTCTAAACCATTTTTGGACTAGACCGTCAAGGCTCTACAGAACATTTTTTTTCCTGTCCGGATCAACTGCG